TACATAATAATGTAATCGTCTTGCTAGTTGTTTTGTCGTCATCCAAGGTCGCGTTGCTGTTCTGTTATGAAAGACAATCTGATTGTCTCAGTCTGCACTGCATATCTCGTCAGGCCTTCAATTATCCTTTTATTTCTTGCATCTTAATTTAGTTGAGTTCAGTTCTTATCGTGGTCATCTACTAGGCCTATTTGATGTCTGGACAATTCTCAATGTTTTTAAACATGGGTCATTCCATATCAAGTGATCAAAATAAAAAATAAAATTTTCCCTTATGTTTTTCTTTGTTGTTAGTTTTTGGTTTATTTAATATACACATAAAACCAATTTAAAATTTATAAAAAAAATATTTTTATCTCTTTTGGTTTTTTTGTAATCTTACTTTAAAGTTCCAAAAAAAGCGCGGTTTTGCGCTTTAAGGGATTTACGTTTTATTTAATATCTCAAGAAAGAATAAAGATAGAAAGGTGAATCAAAAACCATTCTTTTCAGAAATAAATTAGCTTTAATTTGATATACAACATGACAGTATTTCAAGTAATTGAAATTTTCAACCCCAAATTCAAAATTTTAAAAGCCAATTCCAAAAAACGCATATGATTTAAAAATTTCCAAAAAATACCATGGATTCTTAATGTTATCAATAATTTATGTACAAAAATTCAAGTTGGGATCTCAATGGGATCCATATTAAAATAATTTTTTTTGTATAAGCCTGCAATGTAAATAGACAAGTCGTAGGCTACAGGGCTAATAGTTACATTCATTAGCTACAAAAATGTCAAAGTAATGTAACATACAATAAAAAGCTATCAGTCTATATGCCTAACCAGTTGCACAATACAAGTACAGTAAGCCTAAAGTGTCTAAAATTTGGTATTGATAAGAGAGGAATGAATGTAAAACATTTTGTTCAGTGCTTAAGTCCCTTGTTACAAATAGGAATTCTAATCAAAAACAAACCTAATCATGAAGGGTGAAGACTATGTATTTTTATACTGGTGATTCGGCCAATTGAAGTCTTGATGTTAAGGTCTTTGTTGCTGCAGTAGTTTCATTATGGGAAATTATATACGTTCGTCCTGTAGCTGTGTTCGGGTTCACTCGAGTTAAGATTTGTTTTAAGTTCACTTTTAAAATGTCTGGCTTGTGTGGAAAAACAAATGAGGGTGCAGGACCAGAAGGATGTAAAAATGTTAATTCCACATCTTCACTTTGATCGTCCTTTGATAGAACACTTGCCAGCCACCAGCGTCGATCATATTCACAGGTAACATAACCTGATATTTCATCCATTGACAATCTTTTACCTCCTTCAACTATTTCTTCCATGCAAAAGTTGTCAGAAGAGGAATAGATCTTGCACTTTATTTCAGTTGAACTGTGAGGAATGAAAGTATGAAACTGTTGTGTTCCTTTAATAGTTTCAGCTTCTTTCAGTCGAAATTTCAAAAAAGATTCTTCTTCTGAATAATCCTCGTTTGTGCAATAGTAAAATTTTATTCTCGGGATATTTTGTTCACTCCAAAGAAACAGTTGTAAAGGGGTCATAATTTGTTCATCAAACGGTCTTTGCAAGCTTGCTTTTGCTGCAAGCCTTTTGACAGTCCCTCCTAGGCCATCACATGTACCTTTGCCGTGAGCAGTGGCAAAAAAATGCCATTCTGTCTCAATTCCAAAATCATTTTGATGATTGCAAATACTGATGAAGTTTTTCCTATTTTTATATTGCGCAGCTGAGCCATCGGAGAAATAATAGATCTTTTTCAAACTGGGCAAAACTTCACTTTTTAAATAAGATATCAATTTCCTTTGAAATAAATGGACTGCTACCGAGTCGTGAATCAAGCATTCTGATATTATTACAAAGCTTGTATACTTAATTTCTCCTTTCTCATTGTAATAAACAGCAAATGGATGCACAGTAGCTTGGTCATTATTCCAGTGGAAAGACTGTGCCTCGTCTTGGACCACAAAAGAGTAGTTTTCTGAAAAGTCCAAACTTACAACTGCTTCATCCTCTTGAATGTTTTCTTTCAAATCTTTGTAGAACTTTGATTGCTGACGGGATATGAATGAATGCTTCTTTAGTCCAACAAGCTGTTCACAAAAACTGTCCACAAATTCTTCTACAGTCTTGCAAAATGTCTCAAATGTACACCTATCCACAGAAACCCATTGTTTGTATGTGATGGTCTCTATCATCCCCTCTTCAAAGTGGTTCATAAGTACTTCTTTTAGTTTTAATACTCCTGGACATTTTACACATTTGTTTAGGTAGCAGTCAGGGGTATTTTCTTGACACATTATTTGTGACAAACATTGTTTGTAATCACCAAGATCGTAGCTTCATCAATCTTCACCTCTTTCAGCTTTCCTCCGACAATCATTAATTTTACATTCTGGTGCGTTGTGCACACGCAAACAGAGTGAGTTCCATTTCCCCCAGCCAAGATACAATTCTTCGGTCTTAAATCAGCGAACTTTGAGAAACCAATTTTCACAGCTGATTCTGTCTTTTTGAACAGTTCAAAGCATTCTTTTAAATTTAATAAAACTAGTCTCTTTTGCACATGTTCTTTCTTTCCATTTACTTTCATCGCTACAAAATCTTTCTTGCCTGGCATAATTCGACTCACATCATCAGAGTTGTAAAAGGCTTTGACTTTATCTACAACATTCTGGTCTAAAGTTTTTCCTGGCTTTGGGTCTGGACATGACATTATTCCCTTTTCTTTAACTAGCGATTTAGCTTTTCTGGCCATCCTATTACTGACACCAAACTCGATTTCAATTTTTTTTACAGTCCAACTTTTAGGTAATGTTGTAAGTATCAAGAACTTCTCACTTTTTTTCGTAGTTTTCTGAAATTTTTCTTTCAATTGCGCAATCATTTCTGAATCTGGGTTAACTTGCTCTTCATCCTCAAAGAAGCTCGTATCACCGACCAACTCAGTAGTGAGCTTTTTAGTAACCTTTTCCAATTTTTTTACACAGTAAGCAGGTGAATGCAGCCTTTTTTTTGTAATGGGTGATTCTTCAATGTTCTCTAGTGATTTGTTTAAATACTCCAATGATAAATTAGGGTCAGTGAAGTTAGTGTCCATTTGAGAAGTCGATGGATTATCCAACTCAACAGATTCCAAATCATTTTTATCTCTTAGAAGTTGCTTACGACAGCTGTCACAAATTTTCATCCCAGGCCTTATTTCCCTTTTGATTTCGAACATCCATACTTGTACTGGTCTCAGACTTTTTATAACTTTATGATTGCTTTTCTCATACGGATTACAACAATAAATTGTTGTAAACCCTGTACCAGATTTTTTATTCCTTTCCATCTCAAGTTTGGCATTACCAAACAACTAACTACATTTAAAACCAACAACTAATTGCAAAAACAAAAACTGTTAAACACACACTTAACCTTTAAACTCACAAATCACTTCTCACTAGTGCAAAAGAAGATAACTCACTGCCTGCTCTGGCTCTGACTGAAGCAAAAGTAAGCAGGAAGTGATTTCAAGTCTGTACTTGTTCATACATGTGGAGACATGAAAAGAGCACATCATCTCACACACAACTCCCCCCCCCCCCCCCCCCACCACCCCCCTGACTCACACAATCTACTGCAACCTATAGTAATTATACACAAACAAAAAAATCTGTAAATAATGGATTTTGTATGTCGTATGTTTTAATTTTATTAGTGGTTATTCTAAAAAAAATAATTATGTACACAATTAAAATTGCTGAAAGGTAGTGATTTTTCTACTAAATATAAATTTTTATTAGGCCTATAGGTTAAATTGGTCACATAAGAAAAAATTTTGCTTTTTAACCAACTTTATCATAACAATGCATTGGATGATAAATCCTTTAACTTACACAGTGCCAAGTTTTACCTGATAGGCTAATAATGAAAATTTGTGTGTTTTTCAACTGTAATTTTAATGTTTGGATGTGATCCCACTAAGATCCCAAATTGAAATTTTGTATCCACCTTAGTAATTATATCAAGAACTCATGGTATTTTTTTGAAAATTTTTAATCATATGCGTTTTTTGGGATTGGCTTTTGAAATTTTGAGTTTGGGGGGTTGAAATTTTAATTACTTGAAATACTGTCATGTTGTATATCAAATTAAAGCAAATTCAATCCTGAAAAGAATGGTTTTTGTTTTACCTCTCTATCTTTATTCTTTCTTGAGATATTAAATAAAACGTAAATCCCTTAAAGCGCAAAACCGCGCTTTTTTTGGAACTTTAAAATAAGATAACAAAAAAACGAGATGAGATAAAAAATTTTTTTTTTCATATTTAAGCTTCTTTCTCATAGATGTATCTAATGTAAAAAGATCAATCCTGTAAAAAATGGTGAGGTAATTGGTATTTGATCACTTGACATGGATTGACCCACATATTAAAATAACATTGTGTTTATTTAAAAATTGACTGAACATTATTATTATGCACTTTTTTAAGAAAAAAAAGTTTAATAATTTAGATAAGGTGACGCTAGAAAAAGCTCGGCTCGAAAAAGCTCGAGCTCGAAAATTTTTGAAAAAGCTCGGCTCGAGGTTGAAAATCACTATTCGCACACCCCTAAAAAAAACCGCTGTAAAAATGCACTGAAGTTAGTGGAAAGCGTTTTGAACATTTATTTTAAGTTTACAACCTATGTGTAGTGTAAATTCAGTTTCAATAAAATTATAAAATAAGTAAAGTTGATTTATTATTTACTTTAAACAAATACAATTACTCAGTAAACAGATTTTTTAAACACCCGGGTATACCTTATGATCGGTCCCTTCTCCCATGAATCGAATAGTTATTTTGATCATCACTGAATCGAATCGAGATCTGATGTATCAAATCGAATCGGAATTTCAATGCATTTTCGATGCCTCGCACACCCCTAAAGACAATCCATAGTAGGCTTGTACAAAGTGGAACATCCTTCTGTAACAATAGCAGCTTGTATTGAAGTGAATGAAATACCTGTCCATATGGTGTGTCAGGTGTGGAAACATGGAAGGGACTGTGATCATCAGGTGTGATTGCAGAACTCTTGCGCTTCAGTGAGTTGACAGCAGGGTGGGGCAGAGGGTTGGCAGGACCACTGGTGGGAGTCTTGAAGTTGACATCAGCCTCCTTAGTTGAGAAAGTTGTAGGCTTAGGAGTGCTGACCACTGCAGATGTTGATGTGGTTTGCTTGGTCACTGAACTGAGCGATTGATATCCAATACTGGCTGACGAGTCTGTAGAATGACTTTGATAAGACTTTTTAAATTAGTTGCATTTGAGAATATTTTCAAAAATGCCTATTACCATACGGCTGCATATAACAGTTCAGTAATAATATCTTGACTAATGTACTGGATATTAGTGACGTGTCAAAACCAAATCTCATAACCATCAAAACTTTGGAAAAAGTTTTGGTTTTGAGATTCAATCGGCGAGTTTAGGGACTCTAAAGTTTGGAAATTGAGGATTTTGTTAGTTCTGGTTTTGAAGCTGCTGTTATTTTTTGGCATCATTATTATTATTTTGAACACTGTAATCCTCAAGCTGGCAGCAATGTCGCAAACAAACCATCAGTAACACTGATGCAAGAAGTAATTTATAGTCTAACTGCAATAGGTATCAAAAATAGTATACTATTATTGTAAGAGTTATGTTTTACATCAATATTTAATAAACACAAATAAATATTGACCACTAAATGTTTTAATTAAATCAACATTTTAAGTTAATGTCAGAAGTTTACTTTATTTTAAGGTTTGTTCGTTGTTTATGAAAAATTAATTTGTTTAGGTTTAAAGGGTACGAGCTGACGGCCCGTCCTACGTACGGGAATCGAGTAGTCCATTAAAACTGGATATAGTTATATCAATATATCTATTCCTAATTCAAGCATAGTTTTAAGCAGTTCAAAATTTATTGTAAAGAAAAAGCTGTCAAGATGAATTAAAACATGTGATAATTATTATTTTCCAACCTTTCCTAAAAAATTTGAGTAGAAAATAAATTTTCATAAGCTTTCTTTTGAAAGCTCGTGAGCTTCGATTCGTATACAGCAATGGTTATAGAATCTTACTTATTTCCTATAATCAATGACAAAATCACAGAGTAAATAAAATAACCTCATATTTCTATAGATTGTTAGTTAGTTATAACAAATTATATTGCACTAAAACAAACTAGAGGTTTTAAATACTGCTCAAAAAAAAATTATTAGAACATCTAGTATTTTACTGTGTATATTTAAATAATCGGTCATCCTCTTACCGAATAAATGAACAAATAAATTAATATAGCATTCCACATAGTATAAATAAGTTAACCCTACCTATGTACTGTAATTTCATTTTGATCCAAATGCTGAATTTGTGTTGCAAACGCTGAATGTTTACAGCTGTTACGTTAAGCAAATGGTATAATAGCAAAAGCTAGTCAAGAATGTTTACGTCGGCTGCTAGACAAAAAAAATTAAAACTTAATTAAAAAAAAAAATTAAACCCTAAACTAAAATTATGGCTTCAACATTCCCAATTTTTTTAAATTATCTTTCTTTCAACAGAAAAATCGTGAAAATCCGTTAAGTAATTGATTCATAATCGTGAAAAAAACCCTGTCACGTTTTAATATATACTAGGTGAAACCCGTCGAAATCGACGGTTGGGGGCCTCCTCGTTTATATGGTCGTGTGGCTTCATTGGCAACAAATAATGCAAATCAAATAGCAATATGGTATTTCCAAAGAGAAAAAGATACTGTAAATTGGCTGTTACGTAAATATTGACACTTACATGCATTGTTAATCAACTTATAAAGGATAATGTGATTTAGTTTAAAAGAAATATGACCTTTCTGTTATGACAGTAGCTGCTTAAATAGTTATTTACTCTTCCAGCCAAAATATTGTGTTACTTTCAATGATGTTACCAACCCAGTGGGCCACGGTCCGTAATATAGGCCACTGCAAATAATGTGTCAAGATAGGTACCATTTTAGGCAAGGTTTTTGTGTTTGGATGTTATTAGACACGATAAGAGTACACTGAACTTCTTCTGCAGATGAATAACTGATGGAGAAATATAAGCCGATTCATAAATTAATGTCACAATGCGAGTTTGAGCATTTTGTAACTATATGAGAAAGTGACATAGTATTTTTTAGACTGCTGCTCAGTGCACTTTAAGAATATGTTTTTTAGAGATAAATTAAATTATTTTTGTTGCTGAGTAGCGCTAGTAAAAATGCACAACACTTTTTTGTTAGCCTAATAACATTCAAAGGCTCTCTAAGAGTTCAAGAAAATAACATTGCAAATACCTCTCAATAAATGTGTGTTGTTTAAAATACAATTTAAAAATGAACAGCTGTTTCATTAAAAAGTATTATCCACATGGCCAAAATGTAAACAAATCGGTGGAGGGATCTTTAAAGGCTTCTGCGACAGAGCCCTAAGGGAATTTACTTAGTTTTTCTTTTGATAAATCATCTACAGACCAAGACCTTTCTTTGGACACCTCTACCAAGTTTCTCCGCCCAACCGTTCTCTCAAATTAGTGGAGACAAAGTTTCCAATAAATATTTAAGATTCCCCCATGTTAATCTTATGGGAGAAAACCCAACTTTGATGGAAGATCCTGTCCAAACTAATAAAGATTTCAAAAAACAAAAAAAACTTTGCAAAACTACAGATCAGGGCCATTGTTTTGACACTTTAATCGTCAAAATCGGTCCAAAAATGAGGGAGGAGTTCTGTTCACAAAAATCGGCTTAGCGTATTATATATATAGATGATTAATCACAATTCATGCTATTAAGTCAAGGTCAGGAGTGAATTTATTCTGATTTGTTAATTAACACTTAACCTGTTCTTTTTTTGTAACCTTGACCAGAACAGAACCAAAAAGGTTTTGCGTAAAGGTTTCTTGATTCAAATTTCCGAGTTTCAGTTTCGGTTTTGAGAATCAACATTTTTGGATTCGAGTATCACGACTAGATATACTTGATTGAATACTGGCTTCCAGATCTACAAGTGTATTTTCAACAAGCATGCATCATATGGTAGGATATGATATTGTATTGAATGTCTTTAGTCACTGCAAGGTTATGGGATGTACAGGGTGAGGGCATTTGAAAGTTATATCTTGACCACCCCTCAGAAAATAGACAAGTGTAGGAAAACAATGTTACCTGCTATTTCTGAGACCAGAAAACTGGTTTCTGGAACTTTTGAACTAGAGTGTGCACAAGCCAGAAGCCAATCCTTGGTAACTATTGTCAGACCCCACCTAGTGGCAGCAGTGAACTTCTTACCCTCAGGCTTGGGGCAGACAAGGTGAGTGGAAGCTAGCAGCTCTGAAAGTTAAACATGACAATAGGCAATAGGGAAGATCAAAACAAAATAATGTTTATTTCAGAAAGTATTATACAGTGTTACAATATTTTGTCAGTAATCCTAGAGGAGTTGACAGAGAGAAGCCAAAGCAGAACTACAGGCGACAGTGTGACATTGTCACAGAAAGACTAGGAGGGCTGCAGAAAGTCCAGCCTGCCAAAATGTTTTTTAAATTTATTTTTGTGTTTTTGTTTTTTATATTTATTTTGGTGTTGAGAACATTTTTGGATTTTTCCAAGTCCGTTGCAGAATGTTTATAAACATAAACGTTCTGCTCTGGGGGTGAGAAGCAGCTTTATAAGTAAGAACTATCTGAGTACTTTATTACATTAAAATTTTAATACTTTATTCTGAAATGGTGACCATACAAATGTACGTATTTAAAACCAAGTATGAATGGAGATGAATGTAGGATGTAGGATGAGTGGCGCGATCTTGTAGTCTTGTTAGTGACTAAGGCCGACATGTTCCATAGACACAGCTGTTAATAAATAGCCCAAACAGCTAATGGCAACTAAGAGACCTACAGTTTATAGTAGAACCGGAACCACATTTTTGCCCCGTAGTTAACGAATTGGTCTAATTATCAGGATAGTACTGTGGATAGTAGTAGTACTCGCTAGTTCGGACGTTAATCCACACCAGGGAGTATCGTATCCACAATGCATGCCTATAAATATCCACAATTCAGCCAAGTGGTTACAATTCTCACAAATCTGAAAGTTGCTGGTTCGATTCCAATCAAGATTGATTCTGTATCCAGGGCTGTTTCATAAAACTACTAGTCTAGTATTTACTAGTCCATGGACTAGTAATACTGGTGTATTTTACAAGTCTACGTTTCAAAAACCTACTAGTGTAAAATACTAGTTACTAGTGTAGGGACTAGTATTACTAGTGGTTTTTACTAGTGTAGACAGCAATGTGTTTCATAAAGTTTTACTCTTGTAAATTACACTGGTAAATACTTGCCATTTTCTAACAACCTCTCTACACCCGTATTATTTGAAGTAGACTAGTATTTTTGGAAAGAGAGTTATTTCATTACTCACATCATTAAAAAGAAAATGAATTATTAAGTTCTTTTTGCAAGTGCGAATTGGCTCACGTTTGTAATTTAAGATAAAAATAGATCTGTGATTGCTAAAAAGATAATTATTATTAAATATAAATTACAATCAATAAATGTGGCGTAGTACAAAATGAGTGAAATTGAATTTTATAATGTAGCCTATGTACGATCGCCCTATTAGAATGAATTATAATTATAAGTTATCAATTTCTGTGAAATTTTAGTCTAATTTTACTTGAGCTAAATTTCATGGTTATATCAACTATTTAGCTATCACAGAGAAAAGATGTTTAAGCTTTGAGAGAAACCAAATTAAAACCACATACCGTATTGCTTACAAAGATGTACAAAAATGTATCCAACATTGCAACATTAATCATATTATTTTACACCCAAGGCTCTCGGTTTTATTTAAAGACATTTTAGTAGGATAGTAAGACAATTTTAAAGAGGAGTTGCATTGTATTTTAGCGAATTTCCCTATAGGGAAGAAGCTATTACCGTAGGTGGCACGGTAAGACCTAGACCCGGGACCGATTTACTTTTTCATTTTGATGTCCCCAGAGGCCAAAAACACCATTCGTTCAAATGTTTATATATGTATATATATACGTCCGTGAACGCGATAACTTGAGTAATTTTTGTCCGATTTTGATGAAATTTGGTTTAAAGGTGTAAAGCGGGATAAACTTGAATGAGTTCGCAAACCAGCATGATCGGACCATGGGAACGGGGCTTTACAGGGGGGTTTTATGGGGTAAAAATTGGATTTTCTCACTTTTGACCCTCAAAACACAAAATTTCCCAATTTCTCTTTAGACCTTTTTAAAGAGCTTAAAAAAACAATTAATTTAGTATATAAAAGTATTTTTGTTCGGTTAATAGTAACGGAGAAAATAAAAAAAATTGTACATTTAAAATTCCCATGTTATTCTTATGGAGAATATTGTCAATTGTTGTAGTTTGCTTGTTTATGGATATATTTTGTATTTTGATAAAAAAATTTTATTTGTACTAAGCTATCAATATTTTACAAAAAACACACTTTATTAGTTTCCTTGTAGCAGCAAACCTAGGTACTCGTTAAACCTAATGTTATTAAAATATATTTAATTGAAAATCAATTAAGACAAATGGAAATTCGCTTAGTCGGCAGGTTTGCTGCGGCAGGGGTATTTTTAGGTGCTTATTATTTGTTTCCCTATGTTTTATCTATGCTAAAACCCTGTGATGTACTAACAATTTTGTAGGTCTATATTTGTTTTTTGGGCGTTGGACTGAACTGCTTATCATAAAAACATTACTTTTAATCCATTTTGGTATTCTGAATTTGTTATTCAAAGTAATAAAAAAATTAGATGATGAATATTAGAGCTGTTATTTTAATGCAAAAACATGTAAAAGTTTAATTAATGGAATGAAAAGTACAGTGAGTGGCGCGGATTTGAACCAGGGACCGACCTCATGAAAAGCGAGAACCCTACCTCTGAGTTACGGCGACGCCCAGCCCTAGCATTTGAGTCATGTTTTACTATACTTGAAAACCTACCTACTTCTCCATTGCTTGTAACGGCGTTGCAATTATTTGTTATATCAATAAACGTTTAGGCTTATTATTCATGGGTTGTAGACTCAAAATATCAAAATATCACAGAATGGTTTTTAATCCAAATATTCTTATGCATTCGAATATTTTAAAACATAGGTTAGGGTACTTGAAAACGTTCCTAACAAAATATCCTTAGACGATTTAATTACATTCAAAATTTGAGCTTTCTTTTCTTTACTCATGGCAAGCTTAATTTTATGTGCCAGAATAAAACAAAACCTATACAGTAGACTCCCTCTAGTTCGGCTTCGGTTGGATCGGCCGCCGGATGGTCCGGCCCGGTCTCAGGGGGACAAGTCATATCGTCACGGGCGAATGACCTTCGACCGGATTCAACTTGAATGTTTAGTTTCCGGCCATAGAAGTAAACAATTCATGTCAGTTTAGTTGACGGGTGCTTCTATGGGTGAATTGTTGCATATTACCTATGTAAATCTATATTACATAACCTCAAAAATACCAACAACATTTTATAAACAGTTTTTCTTCAGTCTAATATGTTGAAATGCAGTTTATAATTAAATATTTCGGACCATTTTTTTATGCAGTAGGTTCCCCCATTATTGTTTTTGAAACACCACGGTTTATTTGACAAAAATAAATTAAGCAAAACAAAGAAAAAGCAATCGTTAGCTTCAAGGTCAAGCTATCCGCTTGCACTGACAATCATCTGCTCTTGCTCTTTACACAACTGATGTCTGCTGTGCACTTGATATTTTACAACAGTTTGTGATTGGGTGATTAGTAACCATGGCAACTTGTTGAATGTGTGGATAAAGAGAAACCAAAGAAAGAATAGAAGAACAAAGAATAAAGAATAAGCGGTGTTTTTCGTCATCCATTGTTATCTTTATCATATTTTACACCTGTCGTTATTATCTTTAAGACTAAGTACTATGATTTTATGCTGTTTTATGAGTTATCTAAGGTTTTTATCGACATTCTTAAGTTCTGAAACAATATGTAGTAGTAGCCTATGCTGACTACGGTAGCAGTAGCTTGCAGTACTAGACTTTATTTATATTGTTCTGTTCTTTACGTGATTTATTGCTGTACGTACAATGTTGTGTAATTTTTGTTTTGCTTGAGTAAGCGTGATTTTAAACGTTACAGTTTTTATTACTGAACCAAGGTTAATGAATTAACATATCTCGATTGTGCAATACTATTATTTGTATTTTGATTATTTAAAATGCACTGCAGCCGGATAGTCCGGCCGTTTTGTAGTCCGGCCAATGGTCCGGTCCCGAGGTGGCCGAACTAGAGGGAGTCTACTGTACAAATAACAGCGAATGTGGCAGCAACAGATCAATTTCCACCCAACTGTTGAGCGCCGCAACTAGGCCTACAACCGGCTACTACAATCACCGCGTTGATTGCAGCGACGCGACGCCGGCGCGTCGGCGGGCTCATTGATGAACATAAATAATAGCGTTTTGATAAATAATATGTGATTGTTTTACATATAGATGTTTTACATATGTGATTGTTTTGTTGTGTCTATATAGTTATTAATTAAAAGAAAACACTGCGTTTCTACAACTATTTACTTTTTGTATCAAATGAAAACAAAATTTAAACCCTTTATAAATCGTCAGAAAACCCGTGATTGAGGTTAGAAATTAGTGTTGACAGTTCACTTGTAAAGTTGGTCACGTGACTAGTATTTTTGGTCACGTGACTAGTAAAATACACTAGTATTTACTAGCGGTATAAAAACATTTATGAAACACTAATTAGTAGGACAGGTAAATACGGGACTAGTATTTACTAGACTAGTAATTACTAGACTAGTATCTTTATGAAACAGGGCCCATATGTCATTTTTTAAACTGACCTATCAATAAATTATGCTATGAAAAACAGTGACATTAAAAAAACATTTAAATAGGACAATGGCATAGATGAAGACTGGAAATGTTGCCCACTCACCTTGGTCTCCACTCTTCTTAGCCACTTTAACCAGGGTGTCCTGGTACACAGCTCCGAGAGCCACTGTCATTTGTACTAGGAATGCCTTCTCTCGGCCAGTGTAGCTGCTCAGTGTCAAGCAACAGCTAGTCAGAGGCTTCTTTTCTGTGTCTACAATTAATGGTTGATGGTAATATTCTATTTTTACCAACTCTTTAGCATCGTTACAATCCTCCTGTAAAACACAAAAATGTATAGTACATGATATATTGTATGACGCATGATATAGTCTGGCAGATTTGAACTAGGGGTCTGCGGGTCAGACCTTTTTGGTTCGGGTCAGGTCGGGCCAATAATTTTGGTCCTCGGGTCTCAAGCCAAAAATCATTAATACCAAATATTTTTAGTTTTATTTTACTCCTATCTGTGTTTATAATATAACCTTATAATAAAATATGAAAAAAGATTGTATTTATGTATATTATTTCATTTTCATAACTTATTTACAGCTTGGAAATTGCCTCAACTGCAAGATTTAAGAAAATAAATTTTTTTTATCAAGGCATTCTTTCCCATTTTCATATTTTTGTTGAAACAACTGAATAGCTAAATTACAACAAGTTTTGAATGGAACTTAATACAAAAAGATCATAAACAAATCAATTAACATATCACAAGTTTACGATACAAAGTTCCAGGTACAAGTTTCGGACTGGCAGACAATGTCAGTTGCTCTTTTATTGTGATGTAATGAGTTGACGGTATTTGATTTTGATTATATTGTGTTCTACAAATCTCTATGTTTGACATAACAGCCTTTGCTTCTTTAATAATTATGGCTGGTGCATACAATGAATTTAGAAGAAAAATAGGAAAACGGCCTAGATGTTCAATAACAAGTTTTTCTTTGTCTGAAATACCATGGAAAGGGACTCATTGATGAGGGATTAGCACCAACATAGTGGCTTCGGAAATCTCCTTCTTATGACTTTCTATGATTTTAAATTTTTGTTAGAACTGAATGTAAGTTACAGGAAATTGAGAAAAACAGGAGATCTAAGTCAATGATATCAATATTTATACCTGTAGTGTGCAAGCAAAGCCATTGCTGTTTTTCTTTAAGATCACATTCAGATAAGAATCAATCCGACAAATTATCTATACAACCTTGAATAAATCTATGATCTATCCATCTATATATATTAGGTATGGAAAAGTCCCAAAATTTCAGGAAATTGTCGGGGAAAAAATGTTTCCGATTTTTGGGACGGAATTACACTTGATTCAGGAATTTTTCGGGACGGGCTTTGATTTGATCGTCGGTGATTTTGCCGCTTCGCGAGTGACGATGACGCCGCTATGGCGAGAGATGTTACCGATGATCATGCCGTGACCGCGAGTCATACCAACGATCACGCCGTGACCGCAGAGTCATACTGACGATCGTGCCGTGACCAAAGAGTCAAACCGATGATCACCCCTAAGATGTGCCTTTTTTGTGGGTTTGGATGATATTTCATGAAATGCCTATTGCCTACGTACTTTGGCTTTTAAAATTTTAAAGTATACGGTAATAGTAGTTGTTTGGAAGACCTGCGCATGCGCGACTTGTAGGAGATTGTAGGCAGAATCTGTCGGTACGACGCAACGCCGCGTGGTGGGAAGTGCCTCTCGTAGAATTTAAATTAAAACCAAACTAGATCATCTAATTATGGTTAATTTAATAAGAGTTCATTTAAAGAAATATGATTTAATAAAATTAACTCTTTAGCTAAAATATCCACCCTACCTGACCAAAAAATAAATAAATGGTATCAGCTTTCTGACACATACTTTCTCCCATAAGTTTGTCAACAACCTTTATCATGGGTAAGAGGTGAGAGTAAATGTGATATTTTATAGTTAAAAATCACAAAAGTTGCAATAACTTTTGAACCATAATTGTTACAGTAATGGGGTGTTGTACTATTTTTTTTTTTTTTTTTTTTTTTAATTATAAGGACCATAACATATTAATTTTGTTCAAAGCCAGGTTTTCTAAAAAAATCAGATTTTAGCGAATTTCCCATATAGGGAATAAGCTATTACCGTAGGTCTCATGGTAAGACCTAGACCCGGGACCGATTTACTTTTTCGTTTTGAGGTCCCCAGAGGCCAAAAACACCATCCGTTCAAATTCATATATATATATATATATGTGTGTGTGTGTCCGTTAGCGCGATAACTCGAGCAAAATTGATCCGATTTTGATGAAATTTGGTACAAACGTGTAAACCTACATTTATTCGAACGAGTTCGCGAACCAGCATAATCGGACCATGGGATCAGGGGTTTATGGGGGGTTTTATGGGGTAAAAATGTGTTTTCCTCATTTTTGACCCTAAAAACTTCAAATTTCTAAATTTCTCTCTAGACCATTTTGAAGAGCTTAAAAAAACAAATAATTTAGTATATTGAAGTGTTTTTGAATGTTCATTGACTACGGAGAAAATTAAAAAAATTGTAAATTTAAAATTCCCATGTTATTCTTATGGAGAATAAATAAACTGTTCTAGTTTGCTTGTTTATGGATATATTTTAATCAAATTTGGCAATTTGGTTTATTTCATACTAAGCTATCAATATTTCAATTGAAAAAACATACCTCAATATCTTCCCCGTAGCAGCAAACCTAACTACTCACTAAAATTCATGTTATTTAAATAGGAAATAAATCTGAAAATTTATAGGGAATATTTTAGTAGAAATCAAGCCGGGTAAATGGAAATTCGCTTAGTATGCAGGTTTGCTGCGACGGGGGTATTTTTTTGTTATTTTATGGTTTTTTATGGGAAAATAACATAATTTACAATAACTTTTGAACCGTAATTTTTACGGAGATGGGATTTGTACCATTCTGTTCAGAATTTAAAGGGCTATAACATACTAAATGTTTCATCGTTCTGGCCATTTTCAAGAAAATCTGATTTTTTCGTTATTTTATGAGGTTTTTATGGGAAAATAACATAATTTACAATAACTTTTGAACCGTAATTTTTACAGAAATGGGAGTCATACCATTCTGTTCAGAATTTAAAGGGCTACAACATACTAAATCTTTATAAAAATCGTTCAGGCCATTTCTGAGTAAATCCTATTTTTCCGTTATTTTACGGGTTTTTATGGAAAAATATACATTAAAAATCAAAATTTCTAAAAAATGAAAAAACGCCTGGAGATACTATGGATTAGAACCTACACACCAACTCTTAGCCTTTTAATTAGAACTAATAGTGTCCAAGAAAGGAAGCGGGACATTGAGTTTATGAGTCGTTTGCATCTTCATCTAGCGCTTGAAAGATAATTTAATTAATTAATTAAATGAGCAACAATTTCCATACATAATATACACAAATTTACGTCAACTATTAATGCAGGAAAAATAAATAAAACAAATCACATTATTGAAGACCGTGTTATCATAAGTTAAAGTAAACAGCTAATTGGTCAACAAGCTGTTCTTTATCTCTACAGCTTTCCATTTATTTTATTACAAAAACAGCAACTGCTTAGTTAATAATGGTCCGATCTTAACAATCTTTGCACCATCTTATAGTAAATAAAATGTTCCACCTTTTGTTATCGAGTAACATTTTTTAAAAACTTAGTTTTTAAGATGTTAAGCTTTGAAAAAAAAAATAGCCCTCACTTTGAAACAGCTATACATTTTTCATTCATATTTTACACAAAGGTAGTGGGCAAAACAATAAACGTATTTGCTGAATTTCAAAGCTATAGCTCGACGGTTAAGGAGTTATGAATGTTTTTGTAAAAAGAACATACAGACAGACGCTAAACGGTTTGAGATAGGACACATGTTGTATTGTATGTTTTGCCTGTTTTGACCTCCCAAATAATCTGGTAAATTTTGTCCTAGTCAAGGCTGGACACCCTGTATATAAGTAGATACAGTAAACCTTCGATAGTTCGACACTCCTTGTAGTTGAACACGGGCTGAGCTATTTTGTCAAGTGATATTTAATGGTTACTATTGTAATGTAAGCTGACTTGAAAATTAATTTGTCATTTAGTGTTGACTTGAGACCTAACTAATAAACAGTGAAATTGATGAGCTTTTTAGTATTTTATAATAATAATAATATAAATATTAATATCACTTTATAAATTTGAATGATTTCCATACAAGACTTGTGTTTTTACATTCCTGTATATTAAACTCCATTTACACCTTATAGTTCGACATTTCAATAGTTTGTTGTCCAATAAGTCCACAAAGTGTCCAACTATGGAGGTTTTACTGTAGATGCCTCCTCTGGAAAATTATCCATATTTAACTTTAGAAAATACACTTTTATAAAACCTTACATCAACACTTCCCTAAAACTGAAATCAACATTTGATTCCAAATATGTTTTGTTGTGGAGTTCTCTTACCAGCCACAGGGGTGTTACTACTTCCATTGCAGTAACATTAGGCACAGGAGTTTCTACGGGCACCACAGCATAGTCAGGGACTCCTTTAAAATTGGTTGCCACAACAGTACCTCCAGACTCTTCTATGGCTTCCACAATGTTTTGGGTTAGTTCAGTATCGTATCCAACCACAAGGAATTTCTTGCCTGCAACAGTCGGCATTGGAAGAGTATTATTCTTCGGCAACACTAGCTGCTTGACTTTCTGTCAAAAGCCAATGACTTCTTCAGTTTAGTGATGGTCGGATCCAGATATCGAACTACCAGATCCGCCGGATCTGAGCTAGAACCGACGCCCGATCGGATCCACAAAAATCGGATCTTGGGCTGGATCCGGTTTTAATGGATCCAATTCTTTTTTCTTATTTAAAATATTAAAATTTAAAAAAAAATAGTTTTTAAATTTTTTCTAATTTAATTTTTTTATTCTATTAACACAAAACGTCATTTACAAAGAACAATTCATACATAAGAACAGGTGTTTTGTCATAGTGATGTATTTTAAAATAAAATTAATAGTGACTATCTGTGTCCATATACAAGACTATCTGTATCCATGTACAAGACTATCTGTATCCATGTACAAGACTATCTGGGTCCATGTACAAGACTATCTGGGTCCATGTACAAGACTATAATATGTATCCATGTGCAAGACTATATGTGTCCATGAACAAGATTAACTGTGTCCATGTACAAGATTAACTGTGTCCATTCATATACAAGACTATCTGTATCCAAGTACAAGACTAACTGTGTCCATATACAAGACAATCTGTGTCCAAAGATAGTCCTGTACATGGACACAGACAGTCTTGTATATGGACACAGATAGTCTTGTATATTGACAAAGATAGTCTTTGACATTGCCTACCCATATGAGTTATTGACATTTACATATACTGTCACAGACACATTACCTAGCCATATGAATTTTTGACATCAAAAAATACTGTAAAATTGCCTGGCCATATGAGTTATTTAAAAAACCCAACCTTGGAAAAAAAAGTATATGGATCCGGATCCGAAGATCCAGATCCGGTACAGACATTTTCTTGGATCCGCCCATCACTACTTCAGTTGCTAAATTATGTTATTTTTAACCTAACAGATCTGGGTTTTTTTTATCTTTTTTAATTTATTTTTTTTAAAGAGGTTGGCGGCCTCTTTTAACCTTGCATTTGCCCGTCCACATAGACTACAGATCTGTGCGTGGAATGTATCCAGCAAAGCAAGGGGTGAGCTGGTACAGTACAAAGGTGAACTGTACTGATAAAAGTTTGTGGTAGTGACCAGGATCCGAACCCACGACACTACTGCCTTGGGCCCGAAGTCCGCGACGCTACCAACTGAGCCACCGACTCGCCAATTTTTTACAGATGTTTTTACTGTGCACATTATATTTTTAGAAGTTTGATGAAGTTAAATGAATGACATTTTGTACTAAGTAACTATTGATATTAGTCACAAATCACTTTCATTAATTTAGATCAGCAGTAATTTTGTAACCAAGTCCATTCTTCTTTATATTCAAGTTAATTGCCTTTAAATTTGGTTTATCAACTTACAATACAATACAAATCATCTTTAACCCCCTTATGTAGCAAAGAAATAACAAGGGACCCAGTATAGATTCAACATACCCAGTAATTAAACAACTTACCCAGAAATAAGTCAGGCACATATGAATCCTGGCTTGTAGTTGTTGAGTTAACAGATTGATTTTGGTTTGACTTCATGGGCGACACATCAGATTTTATATCTAGACAGTCATACACAATTGATTGGTTAAAGCAAAGATTAAACAATTATGCAGGATTGATATTTTTATAACAACCTCCAAGCAACATAAGTCTTTAAAAGGATTTAGCATTTATTTCTTACCGAATAAGATAAACAAATCACAATCACAATATTGGAATCATGGTACATCTAACATTCTGACTAAAATTGAATTTTCATTATTGACAAATTAGTTTTTTTTCAACTTGAACTAAGTGATTAAACAGAAAAAGAAAATACAAAAAATATATCCTAATTTGATCATAATTTTTCTGCAATTTTATGAGAGGTTTCTAGATTTTTATTTACAACAGTCATTAAGGTTCTTTAAATTCAATTTTTGTAAATCCAAATGTTTATTCGTTTTGTCTGGTCATTATTCCATAATGGGTCAGTTATATCTACATCATCATACTTTCTTTGATGAACTCTGAGAAGAGTTTTCTATTGACAGGGGGCTCAGGAGGGGGAGGCATCTTAGAGGCTGCACTGTCATCAGTTGGGGGTTTCAGCAGCTCCATTCCCTTCAACATAAATTAAATTATACATTTAAGAGTAATTTAACCTTAAAACAGTAAATAGCTTGAGTACTTGAACAGACACGGTATGGATCATAAACATATAAATAAGTTACTGGCCCGAAAGTATACATTATTTAACATTGCTTACATCTAAACCATATGTTAATGCTATTAAAGGCTGTCTCAACCTATTGTTACAAGTCAGGAGCCCCGCGCAACAATAGCCAGGCGCCGTCAAAAGGGTTGTTTGTCTACACGGGGTTCTCCGAAAGACAATAGACCCATGTCAACGGACTACGTCAATAGGGTCTTTGACATCCACTAGAAGCTTCCACGGTGATCTGTAAACAGCTTTTTTTGGGCTACTAGGTGTCTCCAGTGTCTCCAGAATGTTCCACGGCAAACTTATATAAGGGACCGTCTTCCGGCACACGGCAGTTGAGTTGAGTTGAGACTTCCGAGAATCGTCACGGCAAGCGCCCGTCGGTGTTAGTGACCAGTGCTAGTGGAGTGGCAGTGACAGTGTAGTGACGGTGTAGAGACAGTGTAGTGACACTAGTGACAGTGTAGTGACAGTGTTGTAACAGAAGTAGTGATAAATCCTGTAGAGGCTAGCTGTAAGTTGAAACATTGTAAATTAGAATAGGCTTTAGCTAGGTTTAGATAGGGTTAGTTAGGTGTTAGGTAATTCTAATATTTGTAAATAGATAATAATTAGTGTAAATAAATAGTTACTATAAAATCGCCAAGTTTTATTGTAAAGAACCTGTTAAGCCCGCAACACTATGTTGAGATGGACGATCTGACCAGCAGGACAATGGCTAGGCCGACCCTCTCCAGCCTCAGAGTTAATGTGTTACAGCAAAACTTTCACTCTATTATATAGGTACTGAATATAATAATTATATAATGATAATTATTTTGTTTCGGAATATTTTTCTCCATACTTTTATATTTCTAACATAGAGAAAGTTTAACTGTAACTGCACATCATCACATCAATTATTTGTACTTAAGTTAAGCTTGATTATCTTTCAATTTTAACAGTAACATCTACATTATTCAAATAATTATAATTTTTAAAGCAATATTTCAAGTCATTTGAATAATAAAATTTGTTTGTATTCAATGCAGAGTAATATTACAGTATAAAGGCCTGACTCAGAGCTTTAATTTACCTTCTGACTGAGGGGAGAGGGGGGCTCGGGCAACCTCTTTGGTTCTAGACAGTGATAAGATTCCTCTGTAGCAGGAGCTCGCTGTTTGATAGAAGCTGCCAACCACTCCAGGCTAACAACATGTGGTCTGCAACAGTCATCAATTCATCCTTGTGAGTCCTAGAGGTCTACAGTTTTTTTTTTATCTACAATCTTAAATATTATGGAGAAAAAATGCATAAAGTTAAACGGGTAAAAATTAAAAATTTTGCAAACATCAACATTGCATTGACCAGTTATCTGGTTAAAATTAAAAAATATTTGAAATTTTTAAAGTTTTTTTAGATATTATTTTCTTGTTTAAAATTGTTTTAGTTCTATCCACACAAAACGTTCTTTATAAAGTACAATTCATACATAAGAACAGGTCATAGTGATGTATTTAAAAACAAAATTAATATTGACTATCTGTGTCCATATATAAGACAATCTATGTCCATGTACAAGACTATCAAGATTCCATGTACAAGACTATCTGTATCCATGTACAAGACTAACTGTGTCCATATATAGGACAATCTGTATCCATGTACAAGACAATCAAAACTTACTTATTTAAACCTGCTGGTAAAATAAAACCTCTTTTGCGAATTCTGTGAATTTTTTTGCAATCACAGCAACATCAGTGAACATATCTTTTGATTGTGACAAAATTTGAGATAATTTCCACGATAGCGGCAACATCAGTAATGATTTCCAGCGATTGTGGCGAAATCCGTGATGATTTTTGAGGGATGAATTATCAAGGTTGTACTGTATTATATCTTACATTTCTATCAAAGTGATACTGAGGGATGCTGTACCATGATACTTACTTCTGAGCAAAACCAGATAGTGCTTTCACATCATCTATTACAAATTCACCAAGTATAACGTGAGACACACTATCTGACATTTCGGAAAACACTGTTGCTCCTCCCAAGCTGAGAATACGAACTAACTTCTCTAAGTCCATCCCTCTGTAACCACTCAGATATACCTGCAGCAAACATAAACATTATTATTGTTAACTGTGTAAGTTTAAATATAGCAATAGAAATTAGAGCATCAATGGAAATATACTTTGGAAACGTCAATATGTTTGGCAGTTTCTTTTTAAACAAAGCTTTCTTTAATTGTTTACTCAAACACAAATATATTATTAAGACAAATAGTAATGATAATTACAAAAAAATGGCAATTTTTGATAATAAAGGGGTCAAAAATATTGATAATATAGGCCTTTTAGGCAATTAGTCCAAAAACTCCCAAATCTCATAAGCTAGTGATGGGTCTGGTTGCTGATTTTATTGGTTCGTTTTCGTTAGTTGTTTTAATTCCCAATCACATAAGATAAAAATTATTTGTTATAATCTAATTTAGTTTACATAAATAAAATCAAAATTTGTTAAACCCTGTACCTATTTGATCAGTGGTAGTTTCCAAATGGCGTGTTATACTTTCTCTTTATTATTTCATTAGTGGTCATCATCAGAATGTTTATCCTTTGTACTGTGTTTAGGTCACATATTGGCTTGATTTTAAAAATATGCTATCTACCAAGATTCTTTGTTTTGTTTACACATTTACGTTGTTATTTTGTAACCATTTTGGCAACCCATAAAGCCAATATTGAAATTTAAAAACTGTGAGTTGCTTTTAAAATATATTGGCATTGTCAAAATTTGAAATTGTTGCGTCCTAAAACTTCCAAACATTTGTCGAAACAACCTTGGTAAGATTGGCTAAAATATGTTCAGCCGTTATGAGTGATAGTATTAGAAAGTTTGCATTTAAGTCTATCTTAAAGAGCTTCGCTCAACTACATACTACAGTGAATATTACCTTGCATCCATCGACAAAGGATCCTGCTTTTTTAGCCTCAGATATGGTCAGAGAATTCAGGATTTGAATATGATTGTTTCCTAAAAATAAAGAGTTCAATATAACAGTGGCATATTTTAAAATACTGAATATTAAAATCAATTATATTAAGTTATTTTGGAGGATGAGAGAAACACTAGGATTAGAGATTCGCCTCAGAATTATTAGATTGAGCCAACCACTATGTTTTGGAAGGGAAATAATTAACTCCACTTCAAATCAACCAAGTGGCATAGTGTTACGCTGCGTTTTATGGGGGTGGGGTTTGGACCAACTTTAAGTAACACACACTTTCCTCTTTAAAAATACAAAAATAACCAAACTGATATCTAAATTAATTAGTTATATAAAAAAAAAACTCTACGTCCGTCATGCTACCTTAACCGTTAAACTAAAAATAAATAAGGAACGTGTTGAGTAATTTTCTGCTTTGCTTTATAGCTTTATTTTTTTAAATTGTTTTTGAGTGTAAAACCACGAAATGATACAGTGTTGCACAGTGTCGGGTGTGGTGGTGGGAGGGACAGAAGTTGGCCAGGAGCAGGTGGGGGAACAAGTGGACGATTTACTACTGCTACTAACAGGTCATCTTTAATGGTCCTTAATATGTTTGGTCTTTAACAATGTAACTGTTATTTATTTATCTGAAGTTTTTTATTAGTTATAAATTAAATCAGTTTTGTTTTAGTTCGGATAATTTATTTTGTTCTTTTATTAAATCGTCTATACTATTATAAAATTGAGGTGGTGTGTGTTTGTCTGTCTGTCTGGACGGCTGTCACCACTAAAATACTAACCCGATACAGCCAAAATTTAGCACAAAGATGCGCATATCTAGAAATGTCATAGGCCTACTTCCCCGAGTTCCTACGTCTGAAGTTTTGATGTGAGGTTTTCAAAAGTAAATATTAATAATTAGTCTTCATGGAAGCATGAGAAAATTCACAGTGTTTACCTTAGCGTTGACATTTCAATGTAAAAAATAAGAACTGCCAAATGCTTATTTCACAATTTCAGACATGTGATCCAAACAAATGAATTAAATATAATATTTGACACAACTATGTGGTAGGTTTATTTATTCTAAAACTTTGTCATAGATTATTTATTTATTCTTAAATGTCATTGATTATGGAAATAAAAAATATTCTATAACCGTTGATGTTGCTGTATCAACCAAGGCTCTGCTTTTGATCTAGAAAGATACCGGTAACCGTGTTTGGTACCGGTTTTGTACAGAGAACTGAGGTACGTAACAATGTACACCATAACAAAAAACATTGGCTTTCTGCTGACCTTAAAGAAACAAAAAAAGGCTTGAATGAACTCAGTCGTATAGCCAGAAATTCAAAAGATAAATATTTAACTGTTAAAGTAAGGCATGTCGCACACTGAGTCCGCTCAGTTCAGTCCATTCCGCAAATTTCAAAAACCATGTATTCAAATGTAGAGCCGCACACTGGGTCCGCTCAGTTCAGTCCGCTCCGTCCGTCTCAGCCAGTTTTCAGTTAGCGAGCGATTTGTACGTAAGCGACGGAAGGAACAGAGGTGCCGCGCATGTGCAGTTCAGTGCAGAGTCGTAGTAGGCCTACTGTATGATATTTATTAAATATGAGTTTTGATGAACTACTGATTTCAGTAGTATCCATTGTTGTACGACCTGTCACACAAGGATTACTACAACTTTACCATGAAGGAGGCTTGTGGGAGGAAATTTCATTGATACATTGAAAATACATTGATGCTGTGAACCCATAATCGTCTCATTTTCCTTGCAACTTTAATTTCTTAGCAATTTCTTCGTCACTACTGGTGGAACTCTCATAACAACTAGGAAATCTCGACACAAAAAATATACTTGTGAACAATGTCAGTGTATATTGTCCACTGGCGTTTGGCTCTCAAAAACGACTGAACTGAGCGGACCGAACTGACGCAGTATGTGGGAAAACTGCCGGAACTGAGCTGACTGACTTGAGCTGAGCTGAGCGGACTGAACTGAGCGGACTAGTGTGGGACTTGCCTAAAGCAAAAGAATCAAATTTAAAAAAATGCTGTTCTAGAACGGAAAAACGTTTTTTACAGGGGAAAATGCATAAATATTCTAATATAAGTAAAACAACTTAGGAAATTATTAACTCTGAGGTCGGTAACAAAAACTCTAAAACTGAAATCCCTAAACTGGAAAGCAATAGGAAAACTATTACAGACCCTGGACATATAGCAGAATCCTTGAATATATTCTTCAATAGCCTATCAGTGTCAAATTACATTGTTCCACAGCAGAGTGTGTGTGGTCTGCACACAATAGATTGTAAATATTTTTAAAAAAGCAACAATCCAACATTCTCTAAATTTAAACCAATCCGTGAAAAGATCTAGAAAAAATAATTGACAGCCTAAAGAATAAATACAGTAGTGGGTATGACGAAATACCTCCAATACTTATTAAAAGAGCTAAACAACAACTGATCAAACCAATTGCACATGCCATTAATGCCTCTTTTCTCGTGGAAGTTATTCTGAGAAGCTGAAATTCTCAAAATTAAAGCCTATTTACAAGAAAGGAAATAAAGCAAATCCTCTTAATTACCGGCCGGTGGCGATTCTTCCATCAATATAAAAAATATTCGTAAAAGTAGCATATAAAGAGAGAGTCATTTCTAGAAACAAACAATATTTTAAAGCAGCAACTGATTTGATTGAGTCAGTTATTAATTCAGTCAATAATCATGAAAAAGCGATTGGAATTTTTATAGATTTGAGTAAAGCGTTTGACTCTGTTTCCCACCCAATTTTATTAGACAAGCTACATAGAATTGGTATTAAAGATAGAGCTTTTGATTAGGATAAAATCATATTTCACCAATAGGAAACAGTTTGTCCAAATCGTAAACCTTTCTAACAACTTCAAACATTATTACAACTCTCAACTTTTAGAAATTAAAAATTGCATACCACAGGGATCAATACTCTCAACTTTATTGTCCAACTGTTACTTGGTAGACATACCAACACCGACTGGCACAAGCAAAATTAGTTCTATATGCTGATGATGCCACTTAAACAATATCAGATAAAACTTTTTAGTGAGACAGAACTATCAGTTAAGAATAATATGGCCACTTTGACTAGTTACTTCACTCAGAATAATTTAGCAATAAAATAAAAAAACAATTTTCATTAACTTTAAAACCCCACAGTCTGCAAAATATCAATCTGATAGTCTAAATATTGGAACAAATCAATTAATTAGTAAAACAAACAAAACTAAATTTTTAGGTCTAACAATAGATCAAAATCTAAACTGGAACTCCAATGTCCAAGAATTAATTGCTAAAATATCTTCAGGTGTTTTTACCCTTGGCAGATTGCAGTATTTCTGTGAAACTGAAACCTTAAAACTAGTTTATTTTTCATATATACTTAGGGATGGGCGAGTAGTGTTTTTTTGAGTCGAGTCAAGTCGAGTCGAGTAATTAGCCCTAATACTCGAGTATCGAGTCGAGTCGAGTCGAGTAGTTCACGAGAAAATCTACAATTTTATTTTACATATATTCCATCTTCATTTTTACGAACAAAGCATTTCTCAATTCACCAAAAATAGACCTGGTTAAAAACTTTTAAACCATATAAAAAACACAATATGTATGTGTATCAAACTATATTTTGGTGTTAAAGGTTTATTATTAATTGCAAAAAAACAATTGCAAAAATATGGAACTAAGTGTTTATTTTAAAATAGGCCTACTGTAAATGTTTGACTAAAGCATGAGATCTAATAAAGTTTCCTCTAATTTATAAATAGGCTTATAAGAATTTATCTAAGTCATTTCTCAGTTTTTGTATTTATTTGAAATTCCATGAAATTGTCTTAGTTAACTCATTAGTTTATCATTTTTTTTTTTAATTACGTAGCCTACTGTTTAACTATGAAAAAGTCACCAAGTCTAGCTGAAAACATATTCATAAATGAGGATATTTTTGAAATACAGAATAACTAATCAGACAAAATTTTTAACACTTTTACTTCTTAACTTTTTTTCCTTGAAAATGTTAACAGTTTTTCACTTATTTTTAATAAAGATTATCACTTATAATTGTTTTAAAGGAGTCCAGATGTGTGAACTTGAAGAGCAGACAAGAGACATACGTCACTGCCACAAAAACTCTTCTCTACTGTGAATGAATGAACTGTTTATTGTGTGAAGCCCCGCCCACCGTCTAACGGGACATGGGGGAGGAAAAGAGAAAGTTTGGCAGAATTTGCCCTTGTTCTAAAGCCTGGTTCACATGCCCTCCCTCGCCCTCGGCCTCAGTCGCTTGCAGATTTTCATTACACAAGAATGTTAATTATTTTGAAATACTGTAAATGTTTGAATTTGACTATGATGAGATCTAATAAAGTTTCCTCTAATTTATAAATAGGCTTAACTTTTTAAGTATTAATCTAAGTCATTTGTCAGTTTTTGTATTTCTTTTTAAAAGCAATTGCAGTTATACATTTAAAAAATTACAAACATCTTGGCCTACAAATACATTTTGTAAGGAGAGTCTTTTCTCTAGTGAGTAAAAACGATCGTGGTCAAGGAATGAACTTTGCTAAAACAGCACATTGTCAATGTTTACAAAAGTATTTTGACTGAAACCTGAAACCCTGGTATTTTTTAAAGACATTGCATAATAGCCTAAGTCGATGTCTGTGGAGAAAAGTATGGCAATAGATAGGTTTTACTTTTAGCCTACAATAAAGATTATGTTTTGGGACTAAAATCTCCAAAAGACCAAAAGAGTGCTTTTAACAAACATTTCATAGTTTTATTTAGTAACAAAAGTGTTTGACTATGTTCCCGATTATACCAAGAACAAGGTTCGGCAGAGTGGATTCACTGTGAACCGGCCTGTCTGGCCCTTATGCACGACGTCACTATAACCTCCGTGTAGGGGTGTCAACAATGGATCGGAACAATCGAAGTTTTGAACCTGTCTGTAACCTAGTTTTTTTATTCTTTAATACTCATTATTTATAAACAAACATGTC